GCGCGATTTGAACACATTTTGATTATTTATTTTTAGTTCATTACACACCGCCACGGTGGCAGGTGCGTTGTACCTTCACACTACTTCATAATTTTACTCSCATTTGGCCAGTGGTGGGTGCTAATTTCCACCCCTGTTTATAGTATTACAACTGAAATCATTTTGACTCCGCCACCGCAGTTTGTCCTTCATGATCCTTCATAGACAAGTTGGCGGTGCAAGATGGCGGCTGCCTGTAGTGGCGACCCGCGACCATGGAGATATAAACAGCTTTTYATAAGGTAAAAATTGTCATGGTCTGTGTTTATTTTCCTTAGTTTTCTAGTGTTTTCAGTGTTCCCCTGTGTTTCTCAGCCCAGCTGTCCCACATCTCCTTGATTGTCACCCTTGTGTTTCTCCCCAGGTGTGTTCTGTTTAGTAATTAGTTTTATGTGTATTTAAGCCCTGTCCTGTCTCTGTCTTTCGTCGGATCATTGTCGTGTTGTGTCTCATGTGTTGGTTCTGGTTCCTCGTGCTTTGTTCCCCTCGTACCTGTGATTCTTCAGTATCTGTAAGTTTGCTGCCAGCAGCCCTCTTTTTGTTATTTAAAAATAAATTTTTGTTATACTTTTGAGCCTGCCTGCACCCTGGGTTTGTTCCTGCCAGAATCCCCACAAAAATAATAAAACAAGGTCTTTGTCTGCAATGATTAGACATGTTTCTATTATTGTCATTAGTGATTATCTCAATTTTGGCTAAACTGACAAAATCCTACACACTGTGCCTTTAACTGGTTTCCGAAATGATGCACCCAAAATTGTGCGTAGATTATATCATGTATGTGTGATTTATAACCAACCTGTGCAAAATGGGTGGGGCTGAATTGATCTTGTCAAACTACTACATAAACATCGATGAGCAGGTCTCCCTGATGATGCACATAAAATTAGGCGCAGATTAATTCATGTATGTGTGATTAAGAGCCAACTGTGTGCAAAGTGGGCGGGGCTACAGTGATCTCATCAAACTAACACATTAATAAGTTTAGCAGGTCTCCTTGATGATACACACCACTTAGCCCTCAGTAGACATTATGCTGTTCTGCTCTGGTTCAACCTCTGCAGTAAATATGCAACCATTGTAATCAAGGACAGTATTTACACTGGCTCCTCGTGATGGTGAAGAGCAGCGAGTGGACCGAGATCCGTCAAAATTAGATTCAGCTTTTGCCCGACGCCGGACCTGCTCTGGAGTCAATTTACAAAAATCACACCACACCAACAGAAAGAAGAATGAGCACAACTTCCGTGTTTACAAAAYAAATCTCCAAAGAAAGAGCAATTTTGTCAAAATGTTTGCTABATTAATAATTATATGGGTATATTTATACATAAATGCTGTCAAAATGCATCATTATGATTAGGAAGCAGATGGAAACATGCAGCTCACAACATATTCAAACACATTTGATACACATGGATTTTATTCTCAAATCAGAAGTTTCAAAAAGTCATCAGTGATGCAGTTTCATCTGTGTTCAGTCTGTCTTCCACAGAATGACTTATTTTCAGACTTCTACATTTATCATTGGATTTATTGTGCGATCTCGCACTGTTGTCTTAGGTGAGGAGTCCAAGGAGGAAAACCTTTTTATATTTTTCTTGTTAATGGCAGAGCTGGAAAAAAAAAGTTGCACGTTCACATGCACAATGGGATCAGAGCTGTTCTGAACAAACACTCCCATGAAGTTCTGACCAGTCACACATTGTGAGCCACAAGGTCTGCAGGACAGATTTCTGAATGGGGGCAATGCACATAACGACATGCACTGTAAAAAATGAAATGTTGAATTTACTTAACCATGTAATGTGACCTGGTTCCACTTAACTGAGTTGAGTAAATTCAAACAATATACCAGTTTTTTAACCAAAGAACATGAATATGCTGCTTTGAATTTACTCAACTCAGTTAAGTGGAACCAGTTCACATAACATGGTTAAGTAAATCCAACATTTCATTTTTAGAGTGTGGTGATGAAGATGAAGATCAAATAAAGTCCTTCAACATGCAGTCCACATGAGAACATAACTTCAGTGTTTTTTATCACTTAGATCAGGACTCAATGTTCCTGTGAATCTAGCAGGAAAGAAGASAACAGGAGAACATGATAAAACTTAATGTAAAACTTATACGATGTGACAAAACAATTCAGTTTTGTCATGTTAAACAACAACAGACTGTTGTATCTGACTGTACCTGCAGCTCTTGTCTTCACAACAGAATAAACAGTGTCCTCCTCTGGTTCATTATCCCTCCCTGTTAATATTAACACATAAAAAAATAAAGAAAATAAAACATGAAAACAGTTTGAAGTCCAAAACTTTCAGAACATTTTTCTTATATTTGCACTTACTCCTGTCTCCAGAGTTTTGAAATGCAATGTGAGAGTATGTGACATTTAGGGATTCATCTGCATCTGAAATAAATCAAGATTTTACATCAGTTAAATTAAACTTCAGGAATAACTCTGTTAGATTCAGAGAATAAATGTTCCATTTAAATTCTCTTCAAATGTTTTGACTGATTTATAAAACATGACAGGTAAAGGGAATAAAAACAAAGCAACAAGCTTAGTTTTTTTTWAACTTTTTTTAAATTTAATCAATTCCACCACAAAACACTTTTCCCTGTATTTTCTTTTTAATTTAAACTGAAACTAGGCTGATTGTTTTTTGGTTGTTGAAAACACACACTTCTACTCATTTTAAAAACTAATAATACTGAAGAAAATTTTGTGACTATTTAACTAAATTTAAAATCCAGTCTTGTATTTTACACTTTGTGGAGTCATATAGTATAAACAAAAGGTCTACCAATGTGTCCCACTCTGTACCATACGCAAAGTCTATTTTACATTCCAATATCTGATGTAAAAGGTACTGCCTCCAGGGGTGTGACCAGGAATTCAGATATACATGAGACGGACCGAGGGGATTCATCATTATTCTTTCCTTTAGAGGGACTTGCAACAGATGCTGGGCTGTTTGAGAGGGATTTTATTGTTCTTGTTCTGATAAGACCAAGGCCCAAACTCCCAGGCCTGGCAGGCTGGCTGACGGTGAGCCTTAATGGAGTTAGATTTTTGTAAAAAAAAAACATTGTATAAAACAATCAACTAGTTTCTTGCAAACATATTCTGTTTTYCAATTCTGCACACATTCTTCCAACRAAGTGGTGACCCCGACATGATTGGATGATCTTGATTAAGCAGAGAATATTGATTTTTATTTTTGAACAAGGACAGCTAAGCATTTGAGTTATGAATATGTATGACTAAAATTGTTTCAGAGGAACTGTTTTGTTATTAATGACACTATAGAGTGATAATCAGTTAAAGCACTGACCCTGTAGAGGAGAGTGTTTCTCATCAGGTTCATTCTGGTTGACTCTTTGATGAGCAGTTCTCCCTGACTGGCTCAACCTAAAACAAATAAAACATATGACAAAAATATTCAKTTACAAAAATTAAAATCAAGTTTACAATGAGACAAGTTAAAAAAAGTAAAAAGCACAAACCTGAGGCAGCAGGAATCTGTGAAAAAAATAACTTTGCTGTTAAATGGTGACATTAGATTTATGCTGTTGCTTTGAGAAATTATATTCTATATTTATGAATATTAAACAAAATTAAATATTTGAACTAAATTGAAAAGAAGAAGTTCTGACCTTCAGACTGTTTGTAAGAGCACAGCAAGATCAGGAGAAAAATAAGAATGATCCCACCAGCAGGTCCGATCACCAACAGCACAAAAAGAATAGAAATGTCAGGTCCAGACTCAGCTGCTTTAAATCCAGAATAAAAAAATGTTCATATCAATAAAACATGAAAATTAGAGTAAACCAATGTACAAACTAAAAACAACAACAAGAAGAACTAGACATGGGTTTTTACGATGTAAAAACAAGTGTGCATTGCCTTGTAGCATGTCATTGCCAGCAGAAATGGACTTGCAGAATCAACTAACCAAGTTCAAATGTGTTTTCTAATCAAGTACCAGCTTGTGGCTGTCAGCAGGTGTTTGTAATGAGGGTAATTGTGTGAAAACATGAAGTTTGAATAAGCTTTTTGTTTACGTTACTGTAGCTGGGATTTGGACTCTAATCTCCCACTTGAAAGGCTATGGCATTAACCACAAAACCATTGGTGCTGGGAGAAAATACAATCCCAGTGTTTTTTCCTATGTGTGTGGAAAGAGGCAACATTGCCAATGACGATCGTTGACAAAGAACTGCATACTATTACAACAGTTGAGCAATATTATATATGATGTTTATGCTTATAAGACAATAATATAGTAATACATCAAATTACATATATATCAATATTGTAATCACTGCAATAATTGAGATTAAATATAATTATTAAAC